TGTCGTACAGATGTAAGTAACCTAAAGGTATGAATACAATTTTAAATTAAACATTTAAAATAAATTGTCCACCAGTCGTCGTCTCATTTATTCTGAAGCCACCTCACTGGTGTGTCTCTTACTGATAAGTTCAATCACCACTTCTGTATTTGGTCTCTGTGCTCCGTCCTCTGAGTCAGTTAGTCTTCTCACTTCTGTTGGTTTTGTATCTTCGTGCTTCTGAGTTTCTGACCTTGGTTCCAGTTAAGAGTTCTTCCTGTGTTGATAGACTCTGAATCCAGTTTAAGCCTTTGTGTTTGATTATTGGAACAAATCACTGAACGGCCTCTGCTGGCTGCCTCTTCCTGTTTGTTTCGCAAACAGGAAAATAAAATTGGCCTGGTATCACACTGATCAGAGCTCATCTTCCTGTTTTTGTGAATACGTCTCCCGCTGCGTTCTCTCTGTATAAACTCTGGAAAATGAACCAATTTTACGCACATTTTCCAGAGTTCATGGCTGAAAATGGCCTAAGTTGACTCCGTGATGGGCTGGACACCTGTGCAGGGTGTGGCCTGCCCCTCGCCCAACGTAAAAGATATAGATAATGGATGGAGCGAACAAAAATAATGATCATAAAAACATGTGAAAGCAGAGAGAGTCAACAGTGAGTCGACCAGACTGCTGAATAATACAGGACGGAGGATATTATATACTGTGTGTGTGTGTGTGTGTGTGGGGCCTTATTGTCTGCTGCAGCGCGCCGGCCTGGACTGGGGATACCTGATTGCTACAGTCGCCATGGCAGCAGCTGCTCATGTAATGGGTGAGAGAGAGTGAGAGTGATGGAGCGAGCAGATCTGGTGGAAGTACAAATCAAGGAGAGACACTGCAGCAGCAGCGAGGGTGGACACACTGAGACACACTGACATCGTCACACGTCCAGGACACGACGACACTCATATCCGCACATCTACACTTTCTCTGACCCACTCACAGACGCTGCTCTCGTCTATATGCCTCTTTTTTTTTTTTTATTCATCGTCCTTTTTTGGAATTTCGGAGGCAGCGAGAACAGGATCAGATGAGTCCAGAGGACCAGGAAGTGGGGAATCACACGCTTTCTCAGTGTTGTAAAGTCGAGTCATGTGAGGACTGGTATCAGGACAGAGAGATATTAGGTCCACTGTGATTTAAGAGCAAATTCACTGTATGTTCTCTGCAGTTGTTTCTCCGGAGGAGGTGTATGTGTGAGGCAAACGTCCGAGTGAGAGCCTTCCGGAGTTTCTGCGGACTTTCTCCACCTGGCCCCCTCCGGTCGAATGCCAGGATTAATTTAAAATTCTTAGTTTTCCAGTGTTAATCTAGCACATTTGTAAATGTTTGATGTGAAAGTTTCAAAACCACAGTTATGTACAGCGTGCGTTGACAACATGACTTCTGCAGGCGCACAAAGCTGCATGTACGCATCTTAAAATAGCTTCCGAACTGTGTCTGGATTCTGACGTGTAGGCACCAACAAACTTTAACTGTTTGTGTGTGTGTTACCGTTTCACACGGCGACGACAGAATGTGCCGCACTGCAGCCCGAGTGTTTGTGTTGCTAATATCAAACAGTTTACCCACCGATTACAAAACCGTCTGAAAAGTTCGTCATCATGAAATGTTACAGAACAGAGGAGCTTTCTTCAGCAGCGTAAAATGTAAAGAATCAAGTGGGAAGAGAATGAACGAGAGGATGAACGAGAGGATGCAGGTTAATCTTACCATCGCTGTGTACGTGTGGTGGAGACGTTGTTGAGTAAATAAACCGTTCAATGCGTCAAAGAAAACCAAACACATCAAGTTAAATGTTGAACTTTGATCTGGAAGTTCAGGCGGTGGTGGTAAACAAAGGCAGAACTTTAGAGAGAATACTCAAAGTCACTGAGCTCCAGTTTTTCTCTTGAACTTTTCCAGAGGGGCAGTACTGTACGTGAGAATGCAGATGTCCGAGTCAGTTGCTCCAAAAAAAAAAAACCTCCAGAACTTTTCAGCCTCATAGAACCAGGACGATCTCCTGCTGCATTATTGATATTTCAAAGGTAAAGCCCGGATCAAGTCCGCACCCAGTTTGTCCGGACGTTATCCGGAGTGCATGTTTCAGAACGGCCAGAGACAAATATTCACACTCACATAAAGTAAAGTCTCCAATTAACCAAACCAACTCTGCCAGTCGGAGAAGAGGAAGCTGGAGAAAACCACACAGACACGGGGGGAGGAGAGTCACACAGAGCGACCCCGGTCAAACTGGGATTCAAACCAAGAACCGTCCTGCTGTGAGGGGGCTGACACCACTGTGCCGCCCACACCACTGTGCCGCCCTCAGGTTGATCGTCTTCATTCTAATTCAATAAATAAATTACATTTTTCTCATATGTTTGGGAAATGATCACACCTGAGGTTCACTCCCTCCGTCTGTCACCACGTTCATGTTACTCTCTCCTTCACGTATCGGGCGTCATCACACACACACACACACACGCACACACACACCCTCATTATCACCTCGACAAACAGCCCTCCTCCTCCAGAGGACGTGGGAGATAGAGAGTGAGAAAAGGGAGGGTAGAGAGTCCTCAACCACCATTCAAGAACTCTCTCTCTCCCTCGTTCCAAGATTGGTTGTGCAAATAATCCATTCCTGACACACACACACACATTTTGACATCCCCTCATCACTAAATGCTTTAAGCGCTAATAGTGCCCCACCTCCCTCCTCCCCCTCCACCCAGCAGCAGCTTGAGTATTAACACCATCACACAAAACATCACAACGTGGCTGTTACTATGGAGATGTGTTGTTTCTCTGGTGACACCTAAAGGGGGCAGGGAATCTGAGGTGTGTGTGTGTGTGTGTGTGTGTGTGTGTGTTTGCATTTTAATGTGTATATTTCTCAAAACACTAATGTAGAGTAAAAATGTTAAGATGTTAAAAACCACAGGTGAAACATAAAACACGTTTGCGGATTGACCCATTTGTGAATCAATAACAATAAATGAACCTTTAAACCATGAATCAAATAATAAACAACCAATATTTGATGGTTTCAGCTTCTAAAATGGGACATTTGCATATATGTCTTAGTTTAAAAGATGTTTTAAGACTCTGGAAGAGAAACAGTGAAGTTATAAATACATTTTTAATTCCTTTTGGATATTTAAATAAATAATAAATAAATATACGGCCATCATATATTGTATATAGCAAGTTTTATCTAACTAAATTACACAACTTTTATCTTTGAGCTACACTTTCAGAAGAACAGCCTTGTTCTTATTTATTTCACATTGTGTTTCTATTCTTCTTTCTATTTCTTACTGTATTGTTCCCTTGCAGTAGGATTCCTTGTGCTTCTCTGTCAATTTAGAAATGTATTGAATCTTCTCTTCAGTTAATTAAAAACATTTTTTTGCCTGATATATGTGTATATATATATGTATATATGTGTCTGTGTGTGTTACTCCTAAAAGAAACACGAGTTCAGAACTCAGAGTTCTACACTTGCTGCCTCATGGCTCATTGAATCGTCACATGACTTCAGAACAGCTTCACTCACGACCTTAAACACACTTCTCTCATATGGCTTGAATGATAAAGATCCTATTTGACGGTTTTAACGTTAGTAGCAGTTAAACGTCGGATTAGTCACAGGGGACAGAAAACGTGTATATGTGATATTTAATGATAAACTAACAAGAAAAACAAATGCTCCCTGTGTTAATGGTGAGTCTTGATTCCAGGTGTCTATCTGTTCAGCACAGATGGAAAAGCTCTTGGCTTTATTTAAGGACAGGGACACAGACACACTCCTATAAATAAGACGTAGTCTCAACTGTGTGGTTTTCTGCTGCAAAGTGAGAAACGGCGAAGACCAGACTTCCTGTGAAAAACAGATGTCTGATGTTTTCTGAGTTGATTTCACAAAGACCAGCTAACGCAAAGCTAACTTCACACACACCGTGAGCCGACGTGTCAACAAAGTGAACTGTCCTGCATCACTAATCACATTCGCTAAAACAAAAAGTGCATTTTTAAACTATATTCGACAAAAAACCATCAGTTAACTTGATAAGTGACATTTTTATTTCCTGTCAGTGCCCAGAGTTAAACTAATCAACTCATTTTCGCAAATCAAAATGTTGATCTGAGTTATGAAGAACTCACTTTCACGATGAGCAGATCAATGAGAGAAAATCAGTTCATTTCATTATTCGGCAAAGAAACGGACCTTTAGGATTATTCATTTATCCGGGCTTGTACGATTAGGTGTGGCAGCATTTTATAATTCTCCATTAGCGGCCAACAGTGTCTCTCTGTCTTCGAAACATCATGCGTGGAGTATGTCTCGCTGATTCAAAAATGTAAATCAAAGTTGAGAGATGAACAACAAATAGCTCATTGTGACATAATCTGCTTGGCAGTGAAGTGGCTACTTGGAGTTTTGGAGACTTTTGTTTCCTCTGGTTTAATATTCATGGGTCAAGGGTCGTCTGCTGTTGCTTTCTCTTTTTGTTATTTAGAAATGATGAGATTATTCGTAATTAAGCCCTTTGTACAGTGATCGCTTTGCTCATTAGTAAATTATAGAGGGTAATTAATGCATTATCTGAAGGCAGTGATTTATTGTAGGGCCTTTCTGATGAGCGTTGTTTTGAGGCCTACACCAGCTCACTGTGACAACTCAGCACAACACAACTATAGGAATACTATAAAAAAAACATAAATATAACTTGGTATTTATATTTATAAGGTGCAGGATAAAGGAAAAACTAAGAGAATATCGTAAAAATGTGATTCAGTGATGAGTAACACAAGCTCCTCTCCACCTCTAGAGCAATGAATCATTTCTCATTGTATTATATTATTATATGATGTTTCTGGGCCTTCTGCAGCCTCGGTAAAGACATTAAAACACAATTTAAACCTGAATTCCACGTGTTGTTTGCAGAAGTACTAATGACTGACCTACAGAAACTCACCCAAGACACTATGCGGAGAATGGTCTGAGGCTGCTGGAAGAAGGTGACGGGGTCGAAGGCTCCTCCGGCTTTCCCGGCTCCGTATGCCTGCATCCCCTCCATGGTCCTCCTGCTCCTCCTGCTCCTCGCTGCTGCTCCTCCTCTGCTCCCCGCTGCTGCTGCTGCTGCTGCAGAGGCTCAGGGTGTGTGAAGCACCGGGAAACCGAGCGACTCCCCCACGGATCCGTCCGTGCGTCCGTCCGTCCGTCCGCCGCCGCCGCTGCAACAACCACGGCTGCAAACCCACGTCTCTCTCTCGGCTCCTGCTCGGCCTCCTCCCCGGTTCTTCTGGATTTAACCTCCAAGCCCCCGGTCGTCCTCCTCCTCGGTGTCCGAGCAGAGGAAGCTGTCAGCCGGTGTTGTGATGATGATGCTCTCTCTCACTCTCTCTCTCTGTGTCTCGTGCACACACTCACACACAAATTGCGTGGCGAGTGCGCGCACGTCTCTGTGCAGGGCACGCGCTCGTGCACAAAGGTTTGCCATAACGAGTCACGCGCTCCTCACATTCATCAGAGGGTATTTATTCCCTCTGAACTAGAAACAGAAAAACAAATGACATCAACCTTAATATTATAACAACCACGTTATCTGAATGTGACACATCCGATTATTTATCTGTGTGCATTTTTCTTTTTATGTAAAAACACAAAGATTAAATAACCATTCATTCACAGATAAACATTTTATTTATGTCCCCATGTCTCAGTACTTTTATTTTGATAATTGTGTTTTTAATTCCATCCAGTCATTTCCTACCACTTTTTTTTTTTTCATTGTTAATTTTGAGTCTTTGGCAAATAATAATAAAACAATTCAAATGAAAATAGAAAACAGTGACAGATAAGAAAAGAGTATAAACATGATAAAATGATTTAAGTAGAGAGTGAGATCAGGCTCATCTGTAATAATGATAAAACACAAATCTGCAATAAAAACAAATGTGACGCTCAGGCGAGACTTTCCGACCTCTAGTGGTACAACCAGGTTTTGTCCTTCTCACTGTTTTATCAGCATGTCAGGCATTTCCTGCAAAGACAACTGTGAGTTCTATCAACAGTGTTCGACGAATTCACTCTAACGATCCCGATTTAAAAGTTCAAAATAAGTTTTGTCTTCAGTTTAGATGCCTGAAGTTCCAACACCTGAATTCCCCCTGAACAGACAAACTCGGAGGAAAAATCCCCTCCTCCTCCTCTGAACTATCTCTCTTACGTCATCACAACCAGCCAATGGCAGTGCGGCTACGCGCTTACGTAGTCACCGGTTAGGCCAATGAGAGACCTCCGAGGCTGGTTGCTAGGAGACGCGTTGTGTTCATGTTGCCGAGGCGGAAGTAGAAATGTCTTCGAGCAGCTGCACGTTTTGGTTTATTTGGATTATTTCACATTTTGAACGAAGCCGCAGCGCGAACTTCGTTTGAGCCGAAGTGAGTTAGTGTCATGGTGAAGCTGAGGGCGAGGTGTCTGCTCGTCGGTGAGTCTTTTTTTACAAACTTACTTCTCCAGGCTATCGCTACACGGGCTAAAGCTAACACGGCTAAAGCTAACCCGCTTCGTCTCAACACCAGAGATAAATAAATAGATAAATAAATAAATAAATACAAATAGAAGAACACGTCTGTTGTTTAACACTTTCCCAAACAGTGAAGAAAAAAAAACGTATTAACGTGTCGCGGCTCTCCATTCTTCAGCAGCACGTGGCAGTAGATAGTAAACACCAAACTAATGCTAGTGAAGTAAAGAATACTAGTTGAGCACGTGTACAAATACAAAGTTTTACTGCGGTTTTACATTGATCTCAGTTTGTAGACACACACAACTGAAATGACTGTGGCGGATGGTCCTGGACTGTTCAGTAGCACGTGCAAAGAAAGTAGGATAATATATAGTTTGTTGGAAACACTAATATCCTACAACATGAGGGAAATGTACACAAGTCAACTGGTAACTATACACTGTGCTGAAAAGCAATAACGCAGTGCAATGAAACGAATAATACTGTATAAATATGTGAACCGGGGGAACCTGTACATTGTTTGTGCTGTACATTTCTATACATGCACATATTATTTATAGCATGCAGGGTTTATATTAACAATAATGTGCAGCGAGCAAGATGCATATTGATTATGTGATTCTGAACTTTTTGTTGGATTATTTAGAAAAACTTTGGAAGTGAGTGATTAATTAAATTGTCGAAGAAAGTATGAATGAAATGTAAACACACTGTGTGTGTGTGTGTGTGTGTGTGTGTGTGTGTGTGCAGGAGATGCTGCCGTGGGGAAAACTGCCCTCTCTCATGTGTTCCACAGCGATGGTACACTCTTCCAGAAGAACTACAGCATGGTGAGAGCATGAATACACTATGACACACAATCCCTGTGTTTACGTGTGTGTGTGTGTGTGTCTGTGTGTGTGTCTGTCTGTCTCCTCATAACGATAAGGATGTACAGTTTATATCCACATCACACGAGTGTAACAGAGGAATCACTTGTAACACAGCTGCTTGAGGGATTTAGGGATTGGGCTGTGCTCTGTTGCAGAGACGGGCTACAGGCTTATCTTGTATTTTTACATTCAGGTAGGGTAACTGAGATTTTCACCTGTGTTTAAAGGGACGACTCCTGAAGCTTAGCTCTGGCTCATTGCCAGCCCAGAATACACAGCAGCATGTTGGGAATACCCTGATGCACTTGCCATGAAGTGCTGCAGCATTTATCCGGTATTCAGACCTGCCTGAGACTACAGCGAGTCGATCAGACCCCCCAGAAAGATCTTAGCAACATCCACATATCTTTACTGATATAGACAGTGTGGTTAGGCAGCAATAAAGTCGTTGTGGAGCAAGGTTGCAGAGTCACTTATTTTGAAATTCAATCAGTAATTGCAGAATTAGAGAATTATTGAATTATCAAATTGGATTTAAGGTCATTTGCCTGAGGTCAAGACTTGTAGTGTATCTCAGACATAATCATGGATCAATATTGATCTCACAAAATCATGATCATACTACATGCTGTGTGTAGTTTGTGTAATGGAACTCCTTGCAAGCTTTTCAAGGACCTGTAGAGGTCTCTTAAATCTACCGCAGGAATCACTGAAGTGCAAGACAGCACAGTGTACCAATTAATGCTGATGCAGAGAAGGCTAATCTGCATTATTTATGCTAATCTTCATGAAGGAGGGAACCGTGTCATTAACCTGACTCTGTGATATATGGGGTCACGGCTGTTCGCTGATTCCCCCTCTGTCAATGTTTCAAGGGCTGCTGACTGTATGCCTGCGCTGCACATGCAAGTAAATGCATTCACATGTGAGAATCAATACATGCACTTGAGCAGCTTGTGCACATTTATTGGTGTGTTACATGTACTGAGTTTACTGTGAAGCCTTGCAGCTGGTTAGGGTACAGCACAGGTTAGTGACCACAATGCTGGACAAGTGCCAAGTGTGTGTCTGTGTGTGTTTGTTCAGCTCTTGCTGTGTCAGCAGTATCGGGGGTTCGGAGGTGACAGGAATGTCGATAATTAATACAGCAGGATTCTGGAAAGCCACCAGAACAGGTACTTAACAAGCGCACAACAACAGTGCTCAGTTTCTCCATACGGCCTGAACCTATGCTCACTTGTGATGCTGTGCATGTCTCCTCACGTTGGACCAGTAGAGTATTAACGTAAAGTAGAAAGGTTCTGCTTAAGAGCTGCATTTTTAATTTTCACAGGCTTAGTGAAGTGTGCTCGCTGAACTCTGGGCAAGTCTTAACACATTACTACATAACATGAAAAGAAAAAAAAAGAGCTACGTGCAGGATGATGTGTAAAAACAATAGTTAAATGATGTCACACACAGATGAACATGTCCACCTGTAGATCGAGACCCTGTTTTCTCCAGACACTCTGCTTTATTAACTGGATGCACTGAGAAAATGCCCATGGGAAATTGCCGGTCACGCTCTTTGCTGTTGCTATGCAACCGTTAACACACCCATACGAAGGCAGTGACTTGCTTTATATCATTTCTTCTATACTCATCATCTCTTTATACAGTCTATGGGATGTCAATTATCAATTCTGGACACTATTAAGCTTCATTTGGTGCCATCGTCAGGCAACGATGTTAATTTTCTAATCCACAGATTTCCATTTGATTAAGCAAAGTGCCTTCATGCTCCAAAAGCAATAAACTCAGATTTTGAGCCCGCTGCCTTTCAGGACACATCAGAATAAGATTCTTGTCCTAAGAAGAGCTGAATTGTCTGTATGTTTCTTCATCCACCACGATGAACACACTGTACTCTGTTGAATCCAAGGTGCAGTGAAAAGTAGCAGTTTTAAGCTTTATTAAATATGTCAGGTTGAATTTTCTCCGCAGGCGGAAACAGCAAACAGCGCGTCCTCACCGCTGTGAGAAAGAAACTTGTGCTGTGAAGAGTTACTCCCTGTGTAGACGCCTAAGTCATTCCTGATGTTCTTCAACTTTTGATTTTGAAGGGTAGCGGAGGCTGTCGGCCATGCTGCTCACGTCCTCCTTTGAAAATGTCAGACGGCCCGTTAGCAATATTCCGAGCTTATTTGTGGCTAATAGGCCCTCATTGACATTCCAGCGGGCGGCTTCCTATGCATCACACCGGCTCATTAGATCGCTCCTAAGTGGGACCACCACGGCATCTGTGTGTTTGTGTGTATGCCACGGGATTCTTGTTATGAACCGTTTCTGTGTAAGCATCAGGTGAATGTTGATCTGAAGTGTGTGTGTGTGTGTGTGATTGTGTATTACAGAGGCAGTGGGTGTGAAAAGTGTGTTTTTGAGGTTTGACACGTTCACTTAAGTGTGAGCTCTGGAGATCAGATCAATTTAGAGTTTGTTGCTGATGTGAAGAATCCTCAACTTGCTTCTTCAAGGTCACCACTGATCTCATACTCCTGGATGCACAGCGGCTAAAGGCAGCAGCCTGCAACCATCCCGGCCACTTAGGATGTCTTTAGATCTCGTACCTTTTGAAAAAGGTGCAACTTGACGAGACCAGATTTGTTACTTCCTCCTTACTCTCTCCTCTATTTGACCTTTGTTAATCAAAACTACTTTCTGTGTGACTGCAGCCTCTGTAGATTTTTCTTTACATCAGGACAATCTGCTATTGGGGCTCAAACACATCTTCCATCTACACAATATCCACCACATACATGTTTACAGACTGGACAACAATACCTGTGGTCACTTAGTCTCCCATAAGAGGTTTACTCAAACAACTGAGTTTTGTATTTGCTGTTAACTGGGGCAGATATTTTTACCCTACGCACCAGATAAGCCAAAAATATGATGTTTACACCCCTATGTGTGTGTCCTTGTTTTTATTGCCTCTTTAAGAACCTTTTCCAACTTAAATACTGACCTTTCTAAGACCGGTAGACCTCATGGGTAACAAAGTTTGGTCTTAATGAGGCAAAACCTCATTTTTTACACCCTGGTTAAGGTTAGGGTTGGACATGGTGAAGTCCTAATTAGGACAACTGTGATATGTGTTTGTGTGTGTGTAGATAAAATGACTTGTATGTAACGTATCTCCACTTCCTCCCACTGTCCAGAAATCAGTCTGAGCAGTAGCGACGAAGTGACAGAGCTGAAGTACGTCTCACCAATAAACGCGTTCGACCAATCAAGACCACCATGACATTATTCATACTATATGACCTGTGTTTCAGACTGAATGAAAACACCATTCACGTCCGAATGATCAGCTCAGTGTGGTAACTGTCACACAGTATGTCTTCACTGTTTCCGCTGACGGACTCAGGGGGGCTTGTGTCATTGTTAGGCTTCTTAGAAAGAACGCGGATATTCCCAGAAGAACAATCTCATCTTTATTGAGACATTAAAAAGAGTCCGATCCGGAGACACAGGAGAGAAGGATTTCAACGTCAGGACAATTAATTCACTTTACAGCCAAAGCTGCTGATTAGCAATGTTTTTACATTCATCGTAAATCACAGCTGACAGGTTATTGTGCTGCTGTGTGACAACGTCCTCTCTCCCGTCCTCTCCTCTCCTCTCCTCTCGCCCCGTCTCATCTCTTGTCTTCATCACAAGAGAAAGTAAAAACAACAGAAACAACAGAAATTAAAAATGCACACGTGAGAAAATTAAGATTGAAAAAGAACTTTAGATAATATTCAGCAAAAGCCATGAAAAGAAGGATGACAGAAGTTTTATTTTAGAAGCACATTAAAAAATACGTCACCTAAAGCTTCATAAAGGTCTTTTAACTTTACATGACATAAGAAATTCATGATATCCTGGTTGTGTTTGTTGTTTGGCAGACGACCGGAGTGGAACTACTGTTAAAGTGTGTCAACGTCCCAGAGACCAGCGACAGTGTTGTGAGTCTCTCTTCTTCTTCCAGTCTCAACCACACTGCTTATAACTTTACACACTTGTCTTCCTATATCCTATTCAAGCTTCTTTATTATTATTAACTGGGGCGTATATTGTATTATATATAATTATCTAAATCATTGAAGGTGGGTGGTAAGGAACATAGTCTTATCACTCAGCTCTCTCAGACATAATATTGTCAGCTTCTCATCTGTATTCAGAAGACAATAGCGCAGCGTTGTGGGAGGAACATTATTAGCCTAGCCTAAAGAAACAAGGAAGTTTAAAACAATGTTATTTGACTAAATCTCCATGTGCAACCCCACTTTACTCTGCTCTCCCCTCCAGGAGCTCTACATCATAGACTCTGCGGGGAAGGAGACGTTAGTGGAAGCCTGCGAGAAAATGGTGAGAGTTTCTCCACTTGCATGAAACTAGATAATTCCCACCATCCATTTATAAAGTACAAACACAGGGGAGCTACTGAAATAATATAAGTCAAGGCACAGAGGAAGAAAAAGGAAGTGGATGTGAGATTAAATCAGTTTTTTGGACATGAATTTTCAGAAAATGTCCTAAAAATTGGTTTTGTCTTTCACATGTGAAGAACACAGCAGGAGATCGTCCTGAACATTCAGGCGAAAGGTAGAGCATCAGTAGAGTAAAGCAGGAAACAGGAACTCATGTATTAATTTTGGTTTATATGTATGACTCCTCATTTGCATCCTGAGTTATTTGTATTCATCAATTTTCATGTCCTTCACGTGTTAGGAACTTCATCAACACGCCCACTTACTCTTACTAACGGGGGCTCTCTCTGATATTTTCCAGACATTTTAGTTAGGGAGCTGGCCAGAAGCCACAAACAACCCCTCTGGAACATTTCAGGAAAATGTCTGGACTTGCCTGTCCACAAGCAGCTAATCTTTCCTTTATTATCTTGCCCCCTTGCCCTTATTCCCTAACATGAACCTCTTTATAGTGGGGTGAGCCGTCTCTGCTGTGCCTGGTTTTCGACCTGACCAGCGAGCAGTCTTTTGCCAACTGCAGCCGCTGGATGGAGAGAGTCCGTGGCCACTTCCAAGGTCTCCATGTTCCAGGTAAAACAAGTAAAGGTCAAAGAACTTTACTTTAATGCTGGAACATCGTCAGGATAAATTGTGAAGTCGCTTTACAAGCAAAGGTCCCTAAGCTGTTCACAGATTGTTCTAACCTTCTTAGACTAAGAAACAGTGCCGTAGCTATTTGTACATAGTGTCCATGTAAATATCTTGCTTTATACTAATAAGATAACCGAGTGGTTTTTCTCAGGTAGTTCCCAGGTCGCTTGTTAATGTAAACATGTGTTTGTGTGTTTCAGGTGTCCTGGTGGGCAACAAATCAGACCTGTCCGCCAGAAGAGAGGTACAGACAGCCATGGCCCAGGAATGGGCCCAGAGCCAGGGGTTGGATTACCACGAGACATCAGCCGTGAGTGTAGTTCAGTATAGATGTCACAGTGTGTATACATGTGACTCAGTGGGGGGGGACTCATTGTGCCCATGTTTGTATTTTTTAGAGGGAGATGGAGAATTGTGACGCACCGCTCCTCAGTTTGGCCCGGGCCTTGCAGTCTCTCTATCAAGAACATCGAGAGACCATCCAGAACCTGAGCCCAGGCTAGACCCGCCCCCACTCACACACGCACATACACACCTCGACGTTTTTTACCAGAGGGATAGTACGCCCAATGTTTCGAATCATCGAACCTCATAAACTTTATGGATACAGAATATAAGGAAGCAAATTCAAATAAACCTCCCGTGGTCTTTTGTACCAGCCGCGCTACAGGCGCTGAAGAGCAGAGTTTTGATTTGCCGATGAATAAAGTTTGTTTTCTTTGACTGGCAGCAGTTGGCTGTGTTTTTCTCTTATCTGCTCGTTCCCTCTCTGTGCACAGCTGAGTTCCTTTCACAGTGATGGTCTGTTCATTGCCTAAACCTCAATAAGACTCCAGCTCGTTGTGGAGGAAGAGGCAGAGTCTGCGCCTCCTCTGCATCGAGGGCTGTCCTCGATTTTAGATGGGTTTAAAATCACAGTTATTCCTAGATTTATTGCTTTTTTTAAACTCGCCCTTCTCGCTTGCTTTTCCTTCCCATTCGAGTTCTTTCTTTCTCTCTCTCTCTCGTTCTTTTGTTGTGTAAACTCTCCAGCTGCAGCCGCTCACGTCATTTCAGTCGTGCAACGCTAACAACCAGTAATCACCTTTCACGTCTGCGCTCTTCCATTCAAACCAGGTCAAAGCCGTGTCCTTGTTCTCTCGCTGTGTCTCGCACCACCTGCCACCATTCAAATGAGGGCGCGCTAGTTCAAGTCAGACACAATGGTCTTTATCTGGGTATGCGCCACTTTGAAAGTGCTCGTGCTTGTACTAAGACACGGTCTCTTTGGGCAACATGGAGTCACTCAATCAGATTTTTGGGGATACATTTTTCTTTCTGTTTACTGTCGTCTGCATCAGCTGATTTTTGACGTATGTTGACAAATGCCAGATTTATTCCCGAAAACATTCGGATAGTAGAAATAACATCCGCCGCTCCTCCTTTCCCGATGTTTGCTTAAAGAGTTTGTAAGTTATGTTCAATGTCACAAACTCACTGTTTCTGCACGTTGTTGCCAAGATGTCAAGAACGAAAAGGACACAAACGTTCATGGCTATTACCATTGTCTGGATGTTCATGCTGCAGCGTCAGTGTCTCGACTGCCAACATTTCCATTACTGCCTATCTGAGCTGGAGCAGATAAAAAAACATATCTACTGCAGACTCATTTCACAGGAGTGATTATCGACTCTATCCATTCTTATTGCAGACAAAAGCCTTATGTTAAAAAGAGGCTATTCACACTTATGGTCAATTTAGCGTCTCCGTTTAACCTAACCTGCGTGTCTTCGGACTGTGGGATGAAGCAGGAGTACCAGGACATGGGGAAAAAATCCAGGCCTTGGCCGAACCAGGATTCAAACCGGGAACCCTCTTTTGATATAACGCAAAGAAACTTACCTCGCAACTTTTTCTCTGTAAGATGAAAACTGATTTGTAATGCAGAATCTGTATTTAACAACTTGTAATTGTTACTGCAGCACAGTGTTTTTGTCCTCCTTGAGTGGGTGATCATAATTATAGCAATTAGGATCTCTGTTGTTCTCGTTCTCTCCGTCCTTATTGTTTTTGTCTTTGTAATGTGTGTGTGTGAGCGTGTCTGCAGGGTTTTCTCAGGCGTACGGAAACAGAATCCAAATAACAGCAGTATTGTCTGTCACATTAGCGTGCTTTGTGTAGCAGCTTGTAGATTTTACATCTGTTCCCTTTATTTGTGCCTGACAATGCGCATGTAAATGTGTATAATGGACCATTTGGAACTACAGTAGTTTCCATCAGTGCTGAATTAAAGCTGAGTATATGATGTAGACACACACACACACACACACACACACACACACACAAAAAGAGGTGGAACACAAGCTCTTATCCATCTCTGAAAAATGACTCTGAGCACTTCACTATCCCACAGTCTTTCTGCTCATGTGAAATGGAGCATCAAGCTATGGGAATACCACTTAATAACACCACAGGATAGAGTGTGGGCTGTAGCTTATTGCTTTGGGAGAGACTTCTTCATTTCCACAGATATTGAAACAGTTGGTCCGATATCACAGAAATGTCAGGCCGTGTCTTACATGCTCAGTCATCGGCGCTATAAAAAATGCAGGCGATCTCTTTTAATGATTAGCATTCACAAGATGTTTGCTCCCTCGGTGGGTTAGGGTCTGTGGTGCAGACCTGTAGCGCGGCAGAAACAAGTGCTGTTCACCTTTTAGCCACAAGGGAGGGCAAAAGTGGTCGCTGCAAAGCTGAGGTCTGCAGGAGGTGATGGAGGAGGACTGCGATGCTCCTGAATGTGTTGTGTCTCAGTTTGTCTTCATAGTTTGGTTCATTTTGGAGATATTGTAATTGTGCCGCTTTATACTGTGCAGTGGTTAATGCAGGTTCTTTTTGCAGTATCCAGCAGACCACAACATTATATATTGATGCTTACATGTGCCGTTAGGGGGCTGCTTTTATTTGAAGTACAAGTTCTTGCATTTCATCATGCATGGGCCCAGTGGACACAGTGCTGCTGCTGTGTACTGCTGCCATGCTCTTTCTTATTGTGCTAACAATACAGCAGGGAGATACCTTGTGTTTGTATCAGATGTTTTAGTGTGTGTTTGAATGGATAACATAAAGGAGTGACGTGTACGGGCAGGATTCAGTTTAAACAAGCTTCAGAGCTGAAGGTCTGACGACTGATTGGCTATCATGACTACACAATTAGACTTCATGTTGTGGATGTGCTGTCAGTAAACATCTCGAGGCCCAACCGTCCCTCAAATTCAATCACGCTGCACCAAATCATGGATACCAGTTGTTCTTGCGTAATCTTGCGCACAAACAAACATAGAAACATACAAACCAACAAACAGACAGGGGTGAATACATAACCTCCTCCGCAGTTTCACCTGCCTGGGCTTATTTCCCGTACATTTGTGAGCTTTGCAGCAGAGTATTTATGAGCTTGACACCTGCAGCTTATCTCTAAACCATTACTTATCCATGTTCTGCTACTGAGAGGTCAATTCTTATTAGGTTGGAAATGTGCAGGCAATTATCATCAATTAAAAGTGCTTTAAATTATTTGATTGAAGGTAGAGCATTGAGAATCCTCTCACGAGCTAATTACTACGCTTGGGTAAAAACCCTAATTTACGCACACTTGGATTACCGGTAAATGTCACGCAGTCATGTGTTCAAGTTCTACAAATTACGCTTGCCGTGCTCTTTCGCATCATATAAAAACACATTAAGTGTGTTGGTGATCAGCCAGTGACTCCATTACAAAATTGATGGATGCGTTTGTCCCCAGCGTACCTGCTATCTGTGCGACTCATCATATCTGTGCAAGGTCTACATCTGCTTTGGTACGTCAGGGCTTCATTTAACTACATTTTACTGCAGTGCTCTTCACCCAAGAAAACACGAACACAGTTTTGTATTCATGACACAGTCTGAGCATGGGGCGAAGAGTCCCAGCTCATATCTTTCACCTACACTCGTTCTTTTTCACTTCTTTATTTCCTGCAGTTCAGCCGTCTGACGTTCTCCTGTTTTCTCAGTCTGACACACCAGATTATAACATCGTGTCAGGACTGCTAATTATAACTCATTTAAAGTTTGAAGTGAATTGACATTAACCTCGGTCTGTTGTCTCTCTTGCTCTGTGTGTGTGTGTGTGTGTGTGTCTGAGCATGCCTTGTTCCATAGCCCCCAACTGTCCATGACCTAAAAAGCTTGCTAATTGCAGGTGAGGGAGGACACAGCAGCTGTTCCCCCAAATCTGCTCCCCTCCTGTCTGAACTGCAGCGTCACACAAATCAGCCACAACGCCTTCGAGCCCACCTGATAAAAAAACTGAAATGTTTTATTACATTATTATCTGCAATTAAGGAAATGTGGTACTGCTTTCTCATGAAAAACCTTAATGTCCACTAGATGCCCCTCAAAAAATAGTTAGCATTCACATTTTAGCGTTCATTTTGTAGCTTGTATGTGCTACATTAAAAATGAGCCAATCAGACATTAACATTTTCAGACCTGACCTGGTGACTGCAACTTTTAATTGAACAGTAGGGGGCAGCAAAGGCTCCGTGTTTTGTTGGTTAATTAAACTAAAAGTAGCATCTCCAAAATAACGAATCTGTAAATAAACAAAAAATCTAAATTAATAGTTAACACCCACAAAGGCGTTTGCTTTCTTCTCTCTGTCTATTAAACATGAAACTAGATTCAGCAGCTAGTTAGCTTAGCGTCATGTAAAGACCAGAACCAAGGGAGAAACAACTATTCCTCGATCTGTCGACAGGTAATGAAATAAAATGTGCCCACCTGCACATTTGAAGCCCATTTATTAATATATCTAATTCGTTTACAAAAACAAAAAGTGCAAAAGCGACAGTTTGTTGCTTTATGGGGCGTTTATGTGCCAAACTATTTCTTGGCTGCACAGGAAACAGAAACTTCCTGCAGCCAAAAAGCAACAGTTCTCCTCATTCAAGGATCAGAAACTGAATATTTAAAAAAAACGAAATGGCGAAACTATTTTTAAAAAGCTTTTCCATTTTACTTTTCTTTTTCCATCTACTCAATAAATGTCTGCCTGTCATATTTCATCACACGTTTCACGGATACTCTTGTCAGTTTTCATTTTGTGTTTCGCTTGAATTGAAGAACGTTCTCCTCTGGTTTAAAGAGGCGGGAACAGAAGCACGGGGCAGATTGGCTCTGATTGGTTGGGACATGTGTTACATGTCGGTGGAATTGTGCGTGAAAAACAACACATCTCTACCTTTAGATATTTGTGTATCGTGGTTTAAAACTGCCACACAGATTGGAGATGTTAGGAAAGTGCTGCACAAAGATGATTTGCACTGTATGAACATGTGTGAGTGGGAGAATGGCAAAAACAAGTGTTCAACAAGACTCTAAAAGTGCTTTAAATAAATAAATACAGACCATTTACCATTGAACCGCTGTGATACTTCATGTGAGTTGGTTAACTTGGGTTGTGAGATATGCTGTGGGTATCCAGCAGAACACATGTGCATCAAATGCATCATTATATACAATATATATGGTTTAGGGTCACACTGATGTCAATCCGACAAAGAAAGACTCGCGCTGCAAAGAAGGAAGTCGACTGATGAACTCACCCTCCACTGTATTTATGGTTCTGCGGAGGATTTATGCAGGTTGGCGAGGTCACCGCGGTCAAATACTAATAGGAGATTAAATGTACCTCCGCACCAGAAGGGGGCACTGTGATGCTGCTTGAATCAGTCTGAACAACAGCTCCTTTCCCTTTTCTCTACCTCCTCCCTCCCTCCCTCCCTCCCTCGCTCGCTCGCCTCTCTTCAGTGATCACAGCAGTACTGCAGAGAGACATGCCAGCCACTTTGATCATCGCACCAGGGGAGGAGAGAGAGAGGGAGAGGGAGGGACAGAGGGATGGAGAAAGAGAAGGAGGGAGAGAGGGCCCACATAGAGACAGAGTATCATGCAGCAGGACGTCAAGGCTGATGTTGAAGGATTTGACTTTTATTCCACCGCTGATGGAGCGGCAGGTCAGCCTCGTAGTGGAAGGCTATTAGGCTAACAGGGAGATGGAGTGAGGGAGTGAACGTGTGGGCGAGGGAGAAATAGAGGGACAGGGGTCGGACTAAAAAAGTGAATTAAGTGAGAGAGTTGTTGAATGACACGGAATGATTCAACTCACGAGTGAACAAGGACATGAAATAAAAAAAATCAAACTAAAGGAATAAACATTGTACCAGTGGTAATTAAACACCCACCAACATGTAGTAATACACAGTGTTCGCACCCTGAGGAAGTCCTGCTGTGCTGCAATGTAGTATTGCATTTGTTTTAACACCATAACTCCGGTACGCTAAAGCAATTCAATCAGTTTGTCGTGAGAAAGCGTTGCTAACATTCAAGGCTCATTTAATGCTCGGCATTGGATATATACACGGACATGAACGTAGCCTTCACCAGCACGGACGGAGAGAGTAAATATGATCTAGAGATAAAGTTGCTCGTCTGCAAAATGAACGTCAGCCAAGAAAGCTAATGGGTTAAACTCACCTCCAAAACTTTGCGCTCGTCTCTGTGGGCACGTCAACGCTCGCAAATTAGCGAGCGGTGCTTGTGTGCTCTGTGTACGTTTGTACATCTGTAATCTTGGAGACAAGAGACATCCAGACTGAGAGACCTCAGAACGACAATACAGATCTTATCCTCAGCAGGCTTTGTCCACACCTGGAAAAAAAAAGAAATGTCCTGGCCCAGTTTGCAAAAGCGAATCTAAGGGGAAATTTACACAAGGTTTTAATGGTTCGTCTTTCAACCTTCTTTTCCTGATCATTCTCACATCACTTACTTTTCAATGCTTTGAGACATGTGGGTCCCAAAATCCTGCCATTGTCCTTCTCTCAATTTACCATTTTGAGAAAAATCTCATGTTTGCTTTTTGTCTTCCTCTCTCTTTCACGCTAAAATGCAACATGAGTGTTTACACAGGCTGAGCCACTCAAAGCCTCTAATTTCACTCAGTTATATTTGTCTCTTTAGAGCAAACATGATACAACAATGACTTGTTCTGTTCCCTACGGGGGGTTCGATTTTTATTCGTCATCAGGATTGATGCATCCAAGTTCAGAATCATTCAGTTTTGGCACCTTGAAAGACATTACGCTTTTTTTTTTAAATTCTCATTTACAACAACACAACGCAAAACCAAAGAACAAGAAAAGAACGAGAAAAAAGACAAAGAAAGAGACTAAGGCTGTGTGAGAGTTCAAAGGAACCGAGGAAATAAAAGTAAATGAAAAAAGGCAAGATAAAATCTTCTTTAAAAAAAAAAAGCTTTGATACGTTCTCCAAAGTTTGTTCTTTTTGTTTCAAGCGTAATGAAGCCCCAGCCCAAATTACCCCCTGAAAAAAAGAAAAGAATAAAAATTGAAATAGACACAGTACTGTAACATTAAGTTCTACTTTGTCACTCTCACTGCCCTTACATGGTATCATTGTTCAGTTGTTCAAAACATAGGTTCCTTAAAAGCAGATCGGATCATTTTGATTAGCATGCATGTAAATTCTTAATTTTTACGAGTCACTTAGCTTCACCTCGCTGGTAGCCATGTTCTCTCATGCACTACTTTGTGTCTTTGGCAGTAGTGACATTTCATAGTCCACAGTCTTCAAGTTTGCAGAGAGATCCTCCATTACCCAGAGTTCTCTCCCTTCACGTTGCCCCTTTATGGAGCCCAAAAAAAAGTGAGGTAAAGTTTTCACCTCGAGTCGACCCTTAACAAAGATGGCCAGGGTTTCGGCAGAAGGCCAAAAGATTTTTTTTGTTGTAAAAGAATGTGTTGATGTGTCTAATACTAACCAATATCAGTTTATCAAGTAGGCTGGAGCCTTGGCCTCGTCAAAGGAGCCAGTCACGATGAATCCTCCGTCTTGGTTTGGTTTCCATGATGACTTGATTTAGTTTAACTTGTAAGTTACTTTCTTTTTTCTTGTTGATATTTTTGCGCCAGGGTAGTCTAGTCATGATTTATTAACATATATATTCATATATTTATATATAATCAATACATATATTAACTTATGTGTTTTTTTTTTTTCCTTTTTTGTTTTTTTGCGGCATGAATTGCTCCCTGCTTAAATTCAACACCGCAATGATTCACAGTATTAATGCGAATAAAGAATGAAATCAAGAAGATACAGCAACTAAAGACAGGAGTGGGTTCCGAGGGAGGTTAGGGTGTGTGTGCCGGGGGGGGGTGGGGCTTGTGGGATGGTAGTGCGAGGGCGGGATCATAGGCGTGGCCGAGGGACAAACCACGCCCCCCTTTCATCAGACTGAGGAAGAGTAAAAAATATAAAGTTCACCTTTTAACGGGCAGTCTGGCCAAACCCACCACTCCATGGTTCCACAGCCCCGAGACAGACAGCCACCGACCCCCCCCCCCACTCCTCTTTCCCCATCCTTCCCCTCAAATCTTTATAAACATGTTCAAAACTCGTTAAACAATGGTAGATGGGAAAATCATGCATGTTTCTTTTTTTATGCATTTTTTCTGTTTCCTTTTTTTAAACTCAGTGATCATCTGAAGTGCTGTGTGGCGCTCAGATCTTCCTCTCTGTCGCTTACCCCTCACTCCATTGATCCATTTATGCCCCCTCCTCTTCCTCTTTTTATCTCCTTACATCATGATCTGTCTTTTGCCGCCCACCCCCCAAATTCCCTCTGATTTTATTTTTTGTGTCTGAGGGCGCTCCATCAGTTTCATACAGGTGTGGTGCGTCGGTTAGCGGTGTTGCTGTGGCCGCCTGAGTCTTTCATGTCCTTCTGGATGCAGTTGTGGACCTGCAGGAAGTTGTGGTCCCTCTCCGTGGAGTTATAGGTGGCTGTCGGGGTGCCCGTTTGGCCCTTGGGCAGCGTGTACATCGACAGCTCGGTGGAGGGCAGCGTCCCGAAGGCCTTCAGGCCCACCGGCGATGCCTCGCGGGAGTGCGAGGGATCAGTGGAGCGGGATGAAGAGCGTGAGCGGCGTCGATAGCGATAGCGGTAGCTGGGGATGCGCGTGATGGCCGCACCTTGGAGGTAGTCAGCGGCCCGTGCCCCCACCCGCAGCTCCCGATGGCGGTCGATGAACATGTGCACGGCGAGCACACCCACCATTTCAGCCATGATGAAGGAGAGGGCGCCAAAGTAGAAGGACCAGCCGTAGGAATAGCTGTTTTTCTTGGAGTCACTCTTGGAAGGGTCGCCGGCGTTGGCTGATATGTACACAATGATTCCTATGATGTTGCTCAGGCCTGGGAAAGGGAAAGAATGGGGATTAGACCCAAACTCAAATACAGGCGATACTCAAACCTACAAGTTAAATAGAGTTATCACAGGTTTACGCATCGTTTGGAGCATAAATAGAAATCTGAATGATTTTATTAATATGATTAAAAAATCAGGTATTTTAAACTAAACAACCTTTTTCTCAGCGTAGACAGGGACAGTTGTAATTAATCACATTTATAATGGCTACATACCGAAGTTTATAACCAAAAAAAAAACCTTTAGACACCAGCGTTTGAAATGTTAGAAGAATCTTTCATTCTCTTCTTTACATCATGTGATGGGCCACCTGTTTGCCACTCTACATCAGTAACCTGAAAAATGTTAAAGTATATAAATTCACAGGTAAAAATAAACTAAACGCAGGCGAACAGCGGGTGAGAACTTGCGGGACATAACGGGACTGGAAGGGTCCAGATAGAACCAACGCCAACGAAATACAATCCATTCTGTAGATGAACACCAGTCTAAGGAGCGTACGTCCTTATTTATGTGTTTATATCTTAGTTTTCCACCAAGTCAAAGACGTCATTCACAGATAACAACAGCTGATCAATGAGGGTGACGGAGTTGCAAAAAATCTGCTTCAAATTAATTAGTAACTTATTAGATGTGTGAGTCAACAGCATGGATGTGAAGAGAATCTGTTCTAGTCGACAGACCACATGTTTCCTGGAGCACAGATTTCAAAGTGTGGCTACTGACAGCCAGCACTTTCTCTCTCTCTTTTCCTCTCAGTCTTTCCGTAGTTTCTTTCCCTTTTTTCCAAATTCAAAACTGGGGCAGACTCACTTTTCCATTTATTTTTGTCTTTATTCTCTTCAAACATGTCTCTTTGCATCTCTGTAGTTCATCGTCCGCGGTCTATACCTCCAACTAATTCACATCCTCTGTCAATCTCAGCTTTCCCACCTTTTTCTCTCCATCTCTCTGTTCCGTTTCTTCCTCCCTCTATTTGATCATCTATTACTCTTGTCATACATCTTCATTCCCGGCGTGTGTGGCCAGGAACACACACGTGCACGGGCAGACAGACAAAAGTACAAATGTGCAAATAAGCTGTAAAAAACCATGATGTACAAAGACACGGAGGTGTGAGGACTCTGAAGGCCTGATTGAGACGGATCAGAGCAGAAGAGTATCAGGGACACCTTATTTTTAGAGTGTAATCCCAGTGGCCTCCTCTTAGCCTAGCAACAGGGCGAGAGAGACAGACTCAGACAGTGAGAAAGGGAGAGAGCGAAACAGAGAAAACTGCTTCTCTCACTTTTGACTTGGAGGGGAACTAGTTATCTAGCGCAGCGCAGTAGGCCATGGCCTAGAACCAGAGTACAAATGCACCAAAACACAAAACCGCTCTGGCAAAAAGGCATCATGTGCTATCTTTGTGTCCCTGGCTTGGTCCTGAGGGGATTTTTGTACACTACACACATGTCAGATGCTCCGCAACACGTCACCTGGTGGTCAGCGAGCACCACTGAGGCCGTGGCTGCCTCCGAGACACGACACTCTCATTTGCATTTCTGTCTATTTCAGGTGATTTGATACTAAGGTGCCGCTATGATTTCCTTCACCTCTTTATTTGTTTCTCTTCTCTTCTCTGATTAATCCTCTTTAACCCGTGTTTTTACAATTTAGTTGCATTCGGTTTTTTTGCCCTGAATCAAGTTCCGTTCCCTGGTCGTCTGTAGAAACTGTCAGCGCACTGGACGAACAGCTGCACCAGAGCACTGACAGGTGGCCAACGTGACGTTCTTCATACCTGCGGAGACGAAGAGGATGCCAGCGCTGAGGATGATGTTGTGGCGTGACTTGTAAAACTCGCTGGCGGCGATGCACAGCCCCCCCATGAAGAGCAGGATCACACTCAGGATGGGGAAGATGCTGGAGGCTCGAACAGCGCCTGCGTACACACACACACACACATCGAGGTAAAAGTAATGTCAAGCTGTTATTATCGGCAACTCGCTAAAGAAAATGTTGAAAAAGGGTTTTTGTCTAAACCTTTATTACGAAACAATGAATACAATGATAGGTGACAACACATGGATGGAAGGAACAAAGTTTTTGAATTAAGAGAAGCAGTTATGGCTTCTAAAGCATATAACCAGCATTTAATAGGAATCCACATTTAAAAAAACACTGTAATCCATAATAACACGTACTCTTGTTTGTTTAAATTGGTTCCTTGAATCTTTATCTCTTTTTAAAACCAGTTCAGATTTGAAAATCCTGTCGTGCTCAGCAGGCGTAAATGTCTAGTCACCTTCATTTTCTTGTGAGAGAAAATGTTATTGTCTGAGTGAATACAGGCTTTGTGGGAAACTTTCTCCTCCTTTTTTCTTTCTCCTCCCTTTTCTCTTCATCCTGTATCTGTATTGAAGATCTGTGCCTCTGATGGGCAATGTGCCTGTCCTCCTCTATCAGACCGCTCTCCATCCCTCTTCCAGCGTTCCCTCCCTCTAACACTCCATCTGTCTCTGTCCTCTTCCCCTCACCTATCAGTCTGTCCATCAGCTGTCTGTCTGCCTGCCCTCTGCGTGGCTGATCTGCTGATTGGCCCTGAGGGTGAGGTGGGGTGAGGCGGCGGTGGTGAGGGGTGTCACGGTGCTGCCGCGGTCACGGAGCTCGATCCGGTTTCCGAGGCGGACAGTGTTCCGATCCAGAACTTCAGGCGGTTTTTCTTGTGTGTACAGTTTCATGTGGGATTCTGCTTCCCTCGGTGAACATATCACACGAGGTCTTGTGAAGCTTCATGTAGCATCTTTGGAAATGTGCTAAATCAGCTCAGTGGATTTTTAACTTTATCTTGAGACATATATATATATTTGTGCACGATCAATTGATGTCAACTTGACTGACCAGCATTTTTAAGGTGAAGATGTTTGGTCATTTGTGCAATATTCTTTACAGTCTAAGTGATTCCACATCTTTAAAAGACAAATCCAGTTTATGAGATTTTTGTTTCCTGCACATATTTTATTGTTAAAACACAAACACTGCTAAACAGCGGTCTGCAATGTCTCACACTCTAAGCATCTCCAGATACTTAGTTCCAGGTAATCTAAAGATAATTCTCGTTGATTAGATTTGTCTAATATTTTTGCAACTACATAATATTTCTTATTTGGGAATTGCTAAAAAAGCAGTCTGCGATATGTAACACACAGATTTCCAGATGATTAATAGATTCCGTTTATTGGAACTGAAGTTTTATTTCTGAAAAATTGAGAGTCTGATTTGTTTAATATTGTACTTTGTTGTTTGACCCGCTGAATTTATTAATTCTCTCTCTCTCTCTCTGGTGAAGCTGCTGTGATGGCTCCATTCACTGAAGCAGATCAAATATTAAGGTGACCTCAGAATTGGCAGTGCACTAAGCCTCCCCTCATCCACCTCCTCCTTTTAACCCCATCTCCTCTTCTTCATTGACATGTGCTGTCAGGGCACATTTTCTTCAAGGTGGAAAGCCCCTCATACCAGCCTGATACACACACACACACACACTCATCTTTTTTCCAGAGTAAGCGGAAATGCCTCCTGTCACTCACACGTGTACTACATTTACTAGAGGTGAACACACTGCTGGCAGAGATTCTTCGCCATGTTAAGTGACACACAAACATAAAAAGCACACGGCGCCACGGACGGCACGTAATATACGGCAACAAGGTTCTTCTTGTATTCTACACCAGTATTGTTTTTTATATAAATGTCTGCAGAGCTCTGTCCGCTTTAGTTACTGTTGTTACACATGTGAAGCGTTGACTTTTATTACGCCAGAGACTGAGGATAAAGATGGACGATCTCCACTTCCCTCCCGCGGTGCAGAAACGAAGCCAAACTATCCCAGATACAAACTCTGCCACCTTGAGCTAATTACATCATTTAGAGCAGCGAGGTCCGTCCAGGTCTGTCGCTTCTTTGGTCCAAACTATTTGGTCCACAAGTGCACCTGCGTCGAGTCGAGCTGCCTCGCCAAGTAAATACAAATACAGGACAACATAGAAAAAAAAAGGTGGTGGAAAACTTTAGCCGAGAAAATACAGTACGAGGGGGAAGAACGGAAAAAAACACTGGAAAAGATGAGAAAGGAGACGACACGAGGAGAAGCGAGAAGACTGCAGACCTTCACATCTCTGTGAAGCTGCTTTGCCGCGAGCAATCTCTGTCGCTCTCTCTTTCCCTCTCTCCTCCTCGCTCTCCTTCCCTCTCTGCTCTTTTGCTATAAGCAGAAGGCAGGGAGTATGAAAGGAAGATTTTTTTTTTTTTACCGAACGCGCCGGCCTTCAGGCGCACCCTGCCACTAAGCACCTCACGGCACAGACACAGAGACGGAGAGAGGTGAGTCGAGAGTGAACAACCTTCAGCAGCAGGATGAAGCGACATCCACACTGTGTTTTTAGTGGCTTTGTTGAGGAGGCTTGAAGCTGCTGTGGGAACTGAACCTCTGGCTTCCTGGTTGTGGGCTGATCTTTACATGAGTGTTACATGTGGCGGTGTCACACACAGCACACGTCATCAATCATGCCAAACAGAGTCAAACTTTTCTCTGTATCTGATGTGGAGAGACGCTATTATCGCTAAAAGTTCTTTCGTCCGCCTGTTCTGAAGTTTTGCTACTATATGTTATCGTATCTCTGAACCTCCAATTAAGTAAAAAACTAAATAATTGTATTAAAACAAAGACTGAATGATGATTCTTTTTAGCAGCTATGGAGCCAAGAGTGGTTTCACTAGTTTTGATTGTTGCATGTATGTGCATGTGGATAATGGCGTACGCATTCCTGCCAACGGTTTTACGTTATTCCGCTGATCAGCAGGTGGCAGTAATGTCCCGAGAAGCACCGCAATGCACCAAATAAGGGCAGTTCAGAAGAAGACGTCGACAGAGTTTCAGTTTCAGTTGCTCGCATGTTTTTCTCTGATAGTGTGTTTTGTCTAGTTTCAGTTCGCCTCCGTTCAGTTTCTTGCTATTTTCCCCAGTGCTTGTTAGTTCTCTGGATCTCCTGAGTTCTGCTTGTTTGCCTCCCAGTTTGTAATGTGAAAAACTGACACAAGACATGTTGAGTAGTCCGACCTCAGTCCCATTATGTGGACATGTATACTTCATGCGTTCATTGACACGTGCAGCAGTTACCAGCTGCCTGACGACACATGCCCCTGGTTGGAGTGTAGTATCGAACGTGTGACGTAGTGGATGTAATGTTGTAACAGTCAGACTACGCTCTGCAACATGTAAACAGGAACATGAAGGGAATATTCTAATTGTTAACGTCCGTTAAGAATAAGATAAAGTCAGTTTGTACTGTGCACGATGGTTCTAACACGACGCGCAGACAGACAAACCACCATCACCATCACTTTCACCTTCCCTTCGTTTCTCCCACTGCTTAGTTCTGCTGCAGTAGAGTGTGTTTATACTGTGTGTTTGTGTGTGTGTGTGTGTGT